ATGGAAAATAGTTGATTGCTGCTTTACAAGGTGTGGCTTCACAGTGTTGTTTTGGCACATAAAATATTGAGCCAAGATGTCCTACCCTGGCAGGCTTTTGGGGTGAAATTTTGCCATTCTTCCTCATTCTCTGTCAAGTGTCCTTCTGCTCTGAATGCTCAAGGTTTATGCAGCTCTCTGACTCAACCCTTGAAAAGCAAACTGTTCCCAGGAGCCAAGGGCAGCTGCTTTGACCATGCCCTGGGCTGCAAGCATTTCTCCTTCCTTCAGCTCAGCCAGCAGCCCAAGAAGCCTTCAGAGACTTCCCTGCTCTCTCCCTCACCATCACTGAAAGGAAGAAAGCTGGTTTTGCAGACTCTCCCTTTCATCAGTTTCTTCTTCAAGACATTTTAACTCTCATATTTTAGCTCTCTTTTATAAAGCCTTCCCAGCTGACATGATATACATTGTGTTATTTTGCAATTAAAACCCATACTCATAGACATAGAAATTTTAATAAAACTTTTGTTATCAAGTTTTATTATTCCAACAAGTGTTGCTGTCAGTTTATAATCCCTAGAGTAGTAATCATGAAATATTCTAATAATTGGATTTTAATTAAGCAATTCACTTAGTCCTACATTATTTTTGAAATCTAATTATGTCTTCTGGAAACTCACCCAAGTTGTGGTATTTTCTGGACCTAATATACAGAGTTAGTACAGATTTCTTTCTTACTTTAAGTTCTTTTTCTCCACTTCTTACAGCTATTATTGAAACTCTTCTATTTCCTGTATTCCCACTGCAGAAAATTACTTAGATCTAATAGATAAAATAAAAGTGGAATGCAAATAAAAATATCTATATATAATTATGTAATTATAGCTATATATGTAATTATGAATATTATGTTAGAAAAGAAGCTCCCTATGCAATGGAAGTTTGAAAGATTTTTACTTATTAAATTCATGATTTCCCCTCCTCCTTGAATTTAAAGACATTACTAATGAGAAATCCCATAGATAAACTTGGCTGTTTTATTCATATAGATTATAATTTATGTTTTACCTCATCTCAAGTATTTTTTGTGCACACTGAGTGTCACCTGCAATAAGTCTTATGAAGCCTGTAGGGTTACTCATGTTTATATCACAGAAGCACTCTGAGTGGTCCAGACACAGCTGTTTCTACATTACCTTTTAGTCTTCTTTGATGCTGAACATCACATCTCACCCCAGCATGTGTGAATCCTCATGGTATACTGTCAGGAGAAATAGTTAAGAACACCATGAATACAAGGCACTTCTCTTGAAGGGATTGGAGTATTCCTGTATTTTTCCATATGGGATACAGAGAAATATCACTTTGTGGTGTGCTTTTGACTGTAAGTAGGCAGAAATCAATGTAATAAAAATAAAAGTATCACAGAGATATTTTTATATTTAGAAATAGCAATAGTACATACAGTCATATTCTGACCTTGAAAAATGGAAATAAAATGTGACAAGGGACTCTGTTTGTAGTATTTATACCAACCATAAAAATGCTCTCTTCAAACATGAAGATTTCCTTGAAACAAAAGAAATCTATTTAAAATGTGAAGAGGGGAAGGGATAAGAAGAGAAGGTCTGATGAGTTAATGGTTGGTAATATGAAGAACATTTCAATAAGATTATTTACATGAGTGATATGAGGCATCTGGCCCACACACTGTATGGTACAAATATAGAAAAGCTGTGGAGGCCATAATCTGTCATTGTAGTGCATATGCAACTCCAGCTGAATGCAGTAGTACTTCAGCTTGCATATAGATAAGATAGTGGAGTTGCACATGCCCTACATATGTACTGTGCAGTTTACAGGCTGGACACTTCATAGCACTCATTAAATAATCTTACTGAAATATTCTTCATATTGCCAAACACTGATTCATCAGACTTTCTCTTCTTGTTCCTTTGGTTCTTCACATTTTAAATAGATTTCATTGTTCTGTGGCCCACCTTTGCCTTCTTTGCTTTGCTTTGCTTTTTTCACAATCGGTTTATTTCCAAAACAAGAGATGTGGCCTCTATGAATAGGATTCCATGGGATTCAGTTCTATTTACTGTTTCATAAATAATTGTCCATGTTTAGACAGGTTAGCTACATTGTGCAGTAAGTTTAGCACAATCATTTGATATTTATCATTACGGCATTGTATTTTCTGCTAGTGCCTCAAGCAATTAAACCATGTGCTCATCTTCCATTGGAACCTGTAACAGTTATTAATCACTTGCCATTGTCTCTGGATTTTCTGCTTATGACCCTTTCAGTTCTTCAAGCCAGGACGCTATCTTTGCAGAAAGAGGGAAGATATCTAAAGGCTAGAATGTAATTCCAAGCTTTAAAAATAGTCCAATTACATTCTAAAGTCTAACTGGTCTTTTTAAAAGTCCGTTACTAAGCTGAAAACTTCTTTAAAACCTCACTAGCTGATACTGCTTTGATGAGGACTTTATTGTTAAAATTGCAAACAGCATCCAAATGGCTAAAATTAAAATTCACTAATTCACTGTAAAAATCTAATATTCCTCCTAAGCTGCTGCACCAATATTACAGGATCAGATGAAAGTCAAATGACTGTATCCAAAAATCTTAAATGTCAGATTTTTATATGCATTTTATAATTTTATTCCCTTTGAAAAAGTATCACATGTTCACAGGTAGAATACTTTGGAGTTTGCGGGTTTTTTTTATTTAATAATAAAAATGCTTAATCCAGAAACCCAGACTCCTATATACTCCTTACTCCTTCCTTCTGGAATGGCAGTGGAGAGAAGGAGCAATCCAAACAGCATTTCTGAAGGAAATCTCAGTTCTCTTGTAGTTAGAATGTTTGTCCCAGTGGCCTCTGGCTAAGGAGGTCAGCTGAAGGGCAAAGAAAGAAGCCCTCAGTTAAGACAATGAGACCCTGGAATGGTCTGAACCTTCAGTAAACAGATTAATCCATCCTTAAGAACTTCGCCTCAAGAGTCTTCCCAACAATTCAAATAGATGCCACACAGACCAGGCTGTTTACAGGAGACCTTGCTGGATTCACAGGGTGAGGACATTTCAATGGGATGAAGTAAAGATGAGGCATGCTTGTGGTTCCAGTGGAGCCAGGAACTTCTCCACAATACTCCTCTAGACCGGGTATAAGAATCTGGATAAGAAAGACTGGGAGGACCTTCTTCTGTTTGACCAGCCGAAGGAATGATTGTTCTCCTAGGACTACTGCCACTCTAATATGAAGGCAGTGATCAGAACTTGGGTAAACTGAATCAAGTTATACATAGAGTTGAATTGCTCCTTCCTGAAGAAATTATGACTTCTCCAGGAACATGGTCTACTGAAACCTGGTAGACTTTTCTTTTTCTGCTCTGTACTAACCTGGCAATTTCCTATCTCAAATAAGAATAACTGTGCTGTGTTAAACAGCAAGTTATTGCAATGGTCAGCAGTGTGCTCCACACAGTCTATGGCAAGTTTGTTCTATGCAAACAGAGCAGTACCTGTCTAGCCATATCCTCTCTCACTCTGTCTCTCTCTCATCTCTCATCTCTCTAGATCATTTACTAGGTGTGGTTCTAGCCCCAGACTCATGGAGAAGTGAGAGTGGGAGAGATAGGAAGGAGGCAGTTGCAAGGGAAAAGTCGGCTGCAATTTTTTGTTATCCTTTTGAAACAAGAAGTCCCTAGGCAGCTTTAGCCTGCACTGCAACGCAGAGGCTGTCTGGAGGGGCAGGATGACAGTATGATTCCTCGCAGGCTGTTCAACTTCTGTTCAAAGCAGTGACATGAGCATTCTGCATGTCTAGCAGAGTGATGGTGCTGGAAGCATATGGAGGTGTCCATCTTCCAGGTGTTTGGAGCAGAAATGGCTGTGGGGGAGGGCTCTGGTGCAGCTCTTTCAAATAGTACTCATTACCTTCCCCATTCTTTCCCTGCTCCCCTTTTATTATAGTGTTCCAAACTCAGACCCCAAAATTAAAGCAGTATTTTACAGCTTGATACTGAAGCCTCAGATCACAGATATTAGTTACTCCTATGTGCTCTGAGAGAAGGATTTGACAGGACAACTGAAATCTTCCTTTCCTTCCTCATTTCCCTCTCTGTACAGATTACTGGCATGCTTCTTGCTTTGGCTTTGGGAAGTCATAAATCTGAGGTTTGCTATTGAGTTAGGGTATCTGGTAAGGCTGCTCCGTGTTGCTGGTATCCTCCCCTTCACCCTGTCCCAATGTCACACTAGTAATGATACCGTTTAGGGGCTTGAAGAGTGTATGAAAAACATCCACAACATTTTTTTGTAAAATAGAAGCAAAAACAGGTCGGTGAGACCTTTCCATTTGTATGACAGCTGGCAGAATAAGCCACAGCGCCCGACAGGGGTGAGTTTTCCAGCTTCACTCCGAGGGGCTGTCCAGCTACAGGTTCCTGCTAGCGTGGGAGAAGCAACCCTTCCATCCTGGAGCCTGGCTCCCGCAGCCGTCACCCATCTGGGCTCCGCGATCCTGCCACCTGCGTGCCCGGCTGGCAGGACTTCTCCGGAGGAGCAGCTCTGTCGGTGCACGGGACACCGCAGAGGGAGGTGGAAAAACTGAAATGAAAGGGAAGAAAGAGGAAGAAGGTGCTCTGCCATGCTCCTTTACGGCGGACAGCCGGCTCCCGCGGGCAGGCAGAGAGGGAAAGGGCTGTGCCCAGGCAGCAGAGCGGGCAGCAGGGAGGGCAGGGAGGGCAGCGCCCGCTCCCGGGCAGAGGCAGGCAGCAGGGCAGATAGGACAGGCAGCACGGGCTGGGCAGGACACACGGCAGGCAGCAGGGACAGGGCAGGCAGCAGGGACAGGGCAGGACACACGGCAGGCAGCAGCGCGGGCAGGGTGGGCAGGGCGGGCGGCGTAAGGCAGGGAGGGCTCTAATTCATCACCCCGTTCAGCGGAGAGGATGGGACGCCGCTAAACTCCCCTTCCTCCCTCCTCCCTTCCCCCCTCGCCAAGCAAGCCCCCCCTCCTCCCCCCTCCGCTGCTCTTTCTCTTTCCCCAAGCAGTGAGCCTCGGACAGTGCTCGGCTCCAGCGCTTTATTTTAAGATGATCGGCCAAGGTCTTTGCAGATAGATTTTATCTGAAGTTAAATAGCAGGCGCTCGCCGCTCACTCGCCAATAAGTCATTTTTAATAGAGACAAATCGCTCTGGACGCCCCGGAGCGCCGGTGCCGCCGCTCCTGCCCGCGCCCCCCGCCGAAGGCGAGCGGGCAGCCCGGGCAGCTGCCGCCTCCAGTAAGTGTCCTGCTCGGCGGATCCAGAGCGCGGCCGTGTGCGGAGAAGGGGAGGCGAGGGGGGGAGAGCCTGCCAGCCGCCCCGCCGCCCTGACAGTGCCTGCGCTGGATGCACAGCGGCCGCGGGACACCTCGGCGCGGAGCGCGGCGAGGAGATGCGCAGGGGTGGTGGGCTGCGCCGCGGCACTCAGCCCCTCTAGGCTCGCCCATGGAGCGTCCCGCGGAGCCCCGTCCGCCGTCGGATCCCCCACGCCGTACGTATCCCCAGCGCGGCCCCCCCGCGGCGGCGGGGCTGTCCGCGGGCCGCGGGGGCGGAGAAGGGCTGGGGCCGGGATGGGGGTCCTCGCCCGTCGGGGCGCCCCGGGGCGCGGTCCCGGCCCGGGGCAAGGCACGGCGCGCCTTTAGGAGCGGCAGAGGGAGGTGGGCGCTTGCAGGGGTAAGCAGATCCTGCTCGGGCGTCCCGAAGGCAAAGCTCTCTGCCTCGGCTTTAAGCGCCCAGAAGCATCCGGAGCCACGACCCCAGCGCCTGCTGTCGCCTTCTCCCCGCTCCGGCGTCGCTCCGCTCCCTAGCTCGCTGCCGGGGCTCCGCAGCCAACTGGCGGGCGGCTGCCGCCCGGTCCCCGCCGAGGGCACACGGACAGGCAGGGCTGGCAGTGGCACCCCCGGGCCGTCCCAGCCTACACCACGGGGCTCTCCCGCCCAGTGAAGGGACTGAGCGCCGGGGAGCGCTGCCTATGGGCGGTCTGCCGCCACCTCGGACCGTGCGATCACTTTGCTTTGACGATGGATTAACTCGATTTTAATCGTTTTTTGTTTCGCCCACCCCCATTCACACACCCCATCTCCTCCTTCCCTCCCGCCGCCGCCCCCCCGCGCCCCCCCTTTCCCTACACACCTCTCTTCCCCCCTTGTGCTGAGCCTAACCTTGTCTTGTGGTCATGGGATCTATAATTTCGTTTTTGTCTAGGCTGGTGAGAGCTCTGCTTGTTCTGTAAAGTGGATGTCAGGTGGATCTATGTTCTGGAAGGAACAAAGAGGCAGCGAAAGCAGCGCGGGGGAAGTTTGAGCGGCGAGGATGCAGGCTGTGTACTGGTACGCGGTCCTTCTGCTGCAGCCCACTCTCTACCTGGTGAGTGTCCCCGGCCCCTCTCACGGGCCGGGCATGGGGAAGCTCGTCGGGGAGGAGGGCGCCAGCCTGGCGGAGAACGAACAAACTCACGGCAACTACTTGCACCCGCAGCCGGCCCTGCCCCGTCCTCCCGGGACGGGAAATCCCGGCGGGGCGCGAGGAGCGGGGGCGCAGACCTGTAACTTCTCCGCGGGGAAGGGGCGCTCCGATGGGCCAGAGCAGGGTCGGGGGTCTCCTGGGCCGCGTCCCCCGGTGCTGCCTCCCGGAGCGGTGCCTGGGTGCCTGCGTGGGCACCAGCGCACCGCCGCGGGGGCGCCCGGCCGGGCTGCGGGGTGGAGGCAACTTCCTGCCCTCTGCTCCCTCCTGGGGGTGGGAGCCCCTCGGGAGGGAAGCCCGCGGTGTGCCACTACGGGCGGCGCGGCACAGGCAGGCACTCGGCGCCGAGCACAGCTGGTATTTTCCGCGAGAGGTGTCATTGACTTTGGTAGCAAATCTCCTTTAAGATTACCGCGGGAGCACGAGTAAACGTCGGCGTTATCTCCTTTCACACACACACACACACACACACACACACACGCACGCACACACACGCACAATTTATTCCCGCTACGATTGCACACACACACACACACGCACACACACACGCACACTTTATTCCCGCTACGATTACAAGGAACAAAAACCAGGCAGACTGTCCCTTTGCAGCCCGCATCCTCTCTCGCTCGTGATGCGTTAAGCAGGCAAACGCTTGGCGGCAGTTCATCCCCGTGGCTACGGGGGAGGGAAAAGGTCTTTTTCCAGGAGCGTTGCCGAGAGAAGCACACCGGCGCCCGTGCTGGGGGTGGTGGCGGCGACGGCCCGGCTCCGGCTCTCGGGCTCCGGCTGCGGCTGCGGCTCCCGTGCTCCGGGCTCCGGGACTCCCGGACTCCCGGACTCCCGGGCTCCTGGCTCCGTGCTCCGGTCTGTGTCCGCGCCGCCGCTCCCTGCGCCGTGGCGGGGCCGCGCGCGCTCCCCCCGCGCCCCCTCAGCGCCCGGCCCGGCCTGTCCCGGCACAATCCCGGCCCAATCCCGGCCTGTCCCGGCACAATCCCGGCCCATCCCGGCCTATCCCGGCCCACCCCGGCACGTCCCGGCCCTTCCCGTGCCCGCCCGACGTGTCTCCCTCATCGGGGGTCCTGCCCTCGCCGGGCGGTGCCACGTCTGCCGCGGGCGTCTCTCCTCCCGGCGAATTTTATAGCTGGGGTGGGGGTGGAGGGGTGGGGGGAAATGGGGAGAAAAGTGCGTGGCAAATAATCCATCAAAAAGCCGGAGCGAGATCGATACGTCGTGTTAAATTTTAAATGTGTTTGCTGGCAGTTAAACTGCTCTCGACTCATTACAACAACAGTGCTGGATTTATTCTAATGCGCTGCAGTCTGAACAACAAGCGCATTAATTCTCCTTTAATTGTAAACTGGGAGCATTTGAAAACCATTCAGTGTGCAAATTATGCTGATTCAATTACCGTTTAGTTACAGACTTCATTACCTGAATACTTTTTTTTTTTTTTCCCGAGGACTTGGCATTGCAGAGTGAAGGAGACGATTTTCAAGTTTCCCTCGAAACAATGCGAAATATGATACAGAAAAAAAAAAAGGGGAATAAAAGACAAGCTAGGGGGAGGGAATGCGCCCTTCAGCTGGTCTGTGTCTTCTGCCAAAACACTCGGGGAGGATCCAAAGGATTTCCCTAGCACCAGTCTTCTTTCTAACTCGATTCTTCCACGTTTATGCCAATCTCCCCCTATTCTCCGTATTTCAGGAGCGACTCTGAAAGTTTGCATTAGGCCATCACATGATAACAAACTGCTTATTAGCACCGGAGCATGAAGTTTTGATTACAGCTTTAATGCGGCGCCACAAAGCAGCAAGGTGCAGCACTTTGTTGTGCCTATTCATATGTGCACGTCGCTCCGCGTGGACAAAATCAGTTTCAATTAGGAATTAAATTTTCAATGCTCAGACTGTTCGGAAGGGTAAATGAAATGGCAGCACAAACATCTTCCTATCGAGTTTGTTAAAAAAAACCAACAACAACAACCTTTTTGAGAGGGGTTAATAATATAGGTGAGAGGGAAAATAGCCTGTTTTCCCTTCGCCTGAATTAGGAGGTGTTCATGGAGAGTGAACAGCTGCAGTGAGGCTGGACTGCCTTGAAGTCACTCATTTACAGGCACTGTCTGCCTTGTAATTTCTCTTCACTCAACAAACCACTACTCTTTTTCTTTATTTTTAAAATTTTTTTAAAAAAATTTTATTCCCCTTTTCCCCTTTCCCCGTTAAACCTCTTTGCAAGAAATCTTAAGGAAAAAAAATAGTGCTTCTACCTTTCTTCCCCTTTTAATGGAGCCGTATGCTATTCAGCCTTATTGCCTGAAATTTATAGAGATCATAGCAGATTTAAATGAGTAGGAATTTTGCTGGGGTAGAGATGGTTCACCATATTATGTTTATTGAAAAGAACATTAGTTGTGCATTGCGAGGTGCATTTTCTCCTTGTTTTGAGCTGTGCAGTGTATTGAAAATGTTATATTTGATTTGCAGTGGTAGTGCATTTCCTTTGGCCTAAATGGGTAGCTTAGTACTTATTTGACAGAATTAGGAGTTAACCTTTAAAGTCTTGCAGTTGTTTTCTTTCTCTACTTTTAGAAAGCTGCAGAAAGTATTCAGCACCTACCCTAGGTCTCATTTACCACGACAGTCTGCATCACTGCTGTTCTTTCAAAAGCATCTTAGTCTGATTCTAATGGGTGATGTTTCCTTAACTAACAGTGCTGTGCTGAGCTCAAAATCGTCAGTGAGGAAGAACGTAAAGAATAAAGAAAAAAAACCGAAATAACATCCGGAGATCGCAGACTCATAGAATTCAGTTCTGTTTATAAGGACGCTGGAATTTTGCACCATTCCTTTAAGGGAAACCTTCTCGTTGTACCTCCTGCCTAGTTGCCGGTGAACTTCCAGTCCGACACCACAGGACAATAAAAGGCCAGGCTGTTTCTTTTCATTTCTTCCTTATTTTTTCCCCCTGTATGGAAGCAGCAAGCTGTAGAAGTGGCTACACAACGCGCGGGCTGTTAGGAAGGACGGCGAGGATCCTGAGTATTATTTCTCAGAGGGACAGGTCAAGCAGGGCCCCGAAGAGGGAGGCAGATCTTTTCCGTGCCGGCAGCTGCGGAGCCGCTCCGTGCGGCGGGGCCCGGCGGGCTGTGACCGGCAGCTCCCGGCGGCGACGGGCGCTCGGCCCGTCCCGTCCCGTCCCGTCCCGTCCCGTCCCGTCCCGTCCCGTCCCGTCCCGTCCCGTCCCGGCCGCGGGGCTCCGGGCGGCAGAGGGCTCGCACAGGCGGGATTCCACCCCCGTCTCGGTCACAGGCTCCGCTCCCGCCCGCTCTGGGGAGGCACGGAGTGGGTACAAGCACCTCTTTTGCCGGGATCATCCCGGCTCGAGGAGAGCTCGCTCCTACAGCGGAGCAGCGGGCACGGACCTAAAATCAGTCGGAATTTTGCGTGGCATGCTGCTAGGGCAAGGATCCCTCCCCCCCTTCATCCCCCGCCCGGCTTGTCTTCTTCTCCCAGCAAAGTGTTTATTCACCGGTGGGTTTAATTAGGATACGCGCCGGAGCCGGGTAGCAGAGTGCTTCAGCTCTGTGCGGAACTTAAGCAGCAAGAGCAAAGGGAGGGGTGGTTTTGCGCCCCGCGGTGAAGGCTGTTTCGCGGGGGGAGCTTTCCTGCGCGGAGCTTTGCCAGAGGAGTGGAACTGCGAGGCTCACGGGGCACCTTGTTAAACACGGCCATGGCTTTGGCAGAGGGGCTTTGGAAACAGCCTGCTAACCTTCCCCCCGTGCCGGGCTGGGATTTTAAGGTCTGTTTCACACCGTCACTGTAGCTTGGAGGCCTTCTGACAGCCGAGAGGAGCTTCCCTGCAAAATTGTTGTGAATAACAGAGGTTTAAAATTGTCCTCAGCGATGGCACACTTGGTACAGTATTTGCTGAGGGGGTAAACAGGGGGTTAGCGGCTCCAGAGTTTGTGTACATTTAATTTCGCTGCGTGTCGCACTGTTTGCGGTCATTTCACCCCGCTTAATGAAAGCTGTGGTGAACGTGAGGAAATATCACGTGCCAGCGAAGATAAGTTGATTTTTTTTCCTTCTTTCTTTTTAAAGATTGTTGCTGACTGTGTCCTACTTTGTCATGTAAGAAAAAAAAAAGCCCAACAAACAAACCCACACCTCTATAGGCAGAAAACAAAAGAGACAGGAGGCATTGTCCTATCGTAATCACCACCCACAGTATTTTCTCAGAGGCATTTGGTGGTGAATGCATTCGAGTATTGCTTTTTTTCCCCCAAATAAGCGATTTCTTTCAATTTTCGAATTGACGTCGAAGGCAGGGAGGGCGGGGGAGAGCGCCTGGCGAGCAGGGACAGTTGTGGCTTTTTGTGCGGGGGAGTTTACGTAGCCTTGAGAAGCTCCTGCTCCCTCTTTCTAAACGAGTTTGAGAGACGCTGTAGCGATGGTGTAAGGGGAAAAAAATTACCTTTTCGGAAGGTAAGACACGGGAATAACAACGGGACCCCGACTTCGTGTAGGTGAAAAAAACTTATCTGCGCTCTTGATTTTATTTATTTATTTTTTTTTCAAGCGGAGGATAGTGTATTATTTTCCAGGTTTCCTTGCTCCCTAACCACCAGAGACCTGTGCTAGTTTTAGAAGGGGTTTCCCGGCACTGAACTTTCTTTTTCCTGATGCTTAGTACACACTACTTTAATTTAGCATATAGCTGGAGAAAGCAATCTGGAATAGATTTCACCTTCTGGGGAGGTACCTGAATGTAATCCAATATCCCAGCCTTTCTTCGACTAGCCAAATCTTCCAAGTCGGTACGGTACCTAGAGGTATCCATTTTAACCTCTTTAATATTTTCCTGCATCTCTAAACCGCCATTTTAATTAACAAAACACCCAT